GATTCAGCCTCCTCTTGGAGCCTGTGGGTGTTTCCCAGGGGCAGAATTCTAACCCCGTCACCCCCTCCACTCCCCAGCAGCTCCGCAAGGGTTCCAGACCAGAAACGGAAGAACCTCTGGTTCCCAGAGTGGTGAAGATCCATGGCGTCTGCTGCCGAGGGACTTGGCCACAACCTCCCTTGAGCGAGTATTGCCGGTTACCAACAGTTCTTTCCCCATGGCCATCTCCCCAGCCCTCTTGTCATTTCTAGCATCTTCTAGAATTGAGAGGTTCATGAAACGTTGAAGCAAAGGAACTCTGAGAAAGGATTTTTTTTTTTTTTTTACCTTTACTGGGTATAGGAATACTTTAGGATATTCTGCTATGCTGAGCACTTCTTCCTATCTCTGGGTTCATTGTGTGTGTGTATGTCTCATTTCCAGGCAACTTTAGCCAGTAAATCCCTGCAGAATTCCTCGTGGAAAAAGTTTTTAAGTAGTTTTAATTGGTTGTGTCTCTTTTCTCTTTATATTTTGTCAATCTATATGGAAATGAAGATGACTAACATTCTTGGCCTAATGTGAAACCTCTAATTAAAACTATGTTTTTGCCTTGTGGGCCCAAAGCATGACACGCTGGAAACTGAAACAAATGGGCGTGAGTGTATTAAAAGTCAAGAGAGCGCCAGTCCTCTTCCACCAGATTCCGTGGCCTCAGATGTGCAAGGGAAGTATTGGGGTTAGGGATTCCAATGAAGGGGGTGTGGCGGGGGAGGTGATCTCATATGGTGATCGCTTCCATTGTCAAGACTTTCAACACCATCTCGACACTGATAACTCTCAAATATGTATCTTCTTCCTAACTCCAAAACTGTATATTCAACCCTGGCTGGTGTGGCTCAGTGGATTGAGTGCCTCAGGGATGACCCAATAATGGGTTGCTGGTTCAATTCCCAGTCAAGGCACATGCCTGGGTTGTGGGCCTGATTCCCCAGTAGGGGGCGCGCGAGAGGCAACCACACATTGATGTTTCCTTCCCTTTCTTCCTCCTTTCCCCTCTCTCTAAAAATAAATTTTAAAATATTTTTATAAATTGTATATTGAACTACCTATGAGACATATCCATTTGGGTGTGTAATAAGCATTTCAAACTTCCATCTAAAATCACTCTTGAATTTCCCCCACCCAAATCCTGCTTTTTCTTCAGCCTTCCTCTCCGTCTCACCTTATGTCCAGTCTTCAACATATATATTCAGACCATACCATCTGCACCTCCACCACCTTGGTCTAAGCCTTACCCATATCTCATTTTTTTTTATTGCAGTTACCTTGTAATTAATCTCTTAGCTTCAACCTTTGCCTTCCCCTACTTAAATCTGTTCTCCACACAGCAGCCATAGTGATCCTGAGTGAGATCATGTTTTTTTCTCCACTGTAAATTCATGGTTTCCCATCTTACTTGGAGTGAAAATAAAGTCATTGTTATGGCCTACATAGGACCTGGCCCCCTGGTACTGTCCACTGACTTCCACTCCTACTGCTTTCCTCTCCTCCCCACACTCCCCAACCCCCAGCCAAACACACACCTCTTAGCTGTTTTTCAAACACCTGGCATACATCTGCTTAGATCCTTTCGTTTGCTGTTCCCGCCACCTAGATCACTTCTGAAGCTATCCAGGTGCCCTCCTCTCTCATTCTAAATACATTTTCATCAGATCTTCTCTGCCTACCCTATGTAAACTCGTAACTCTCTTCCAAAATCCCTCTCTTTCTGCGTTTTTTGATTCTGAGAGGACATTTATTAAAACTGGGGACAGTGAAACAAAGAAAGGCCTAGGATGGAGGAAGCAACAGGAGAGAGCCTAGGTGGGACTGCTCTGTCTCCCTAGAGATGTTACAGGAAAGGGAGCCTTGGAGACATGTTCCGGGATTAGCCCAAGACGAGCTGTCACCGCTCGTTCCCGTGTGAGGTCCCTTAAAAGTTTAGGAAGTTCAGGCCTGTCGGGAAAGAAGAAGGAGAAGGGAGAGGGTTGGGTATGTTCCCCAGGAGAGAGAGGACTCCTGCTTTAGTTTAATTCAAAGCCCTATTAACATCTGACATGTAATTTACCTTGTTTATTGTCCTGTCCCACTAGAATGTTAAGCTTCATGTTTCGCTCACTGCTGTATCCTCAGCACTTAGAACCACGCCTGGCACAGAGTAGGCACTTCATATTCAGTAAATCAGTAAATGAGCCGTTTAGTAATATTAAGGAGAAAGCATCTACCCTTGACCTTTACCTTGGATAAGAGTGACACTCATACTGGGTTAGCCAAAAAGTCTATTTAGTTTTTTCTTTTTCTTTTTTTTTAAGATTTTATTTTATTTTATTATTTTAGAGAGGGAAGGGAGGGAGAAAGAGAGAGGGAAATATCAATGTGGGGTTGCTGGGGGTCATGGCCTGCAACCCAGGCATGTACCCTGACTGGGAATCGAACCTGTGACACTTTGGTTTGCAGGCTGGAGCTCAATCCACTGAGCTACGCCAGCCAGGGCTTAGTTTTTTCCATGAAATAAAAAACACTTCATTTTCACCAATAACTTTATTGATTTAGATATTTTTGAGTATGTTGGTTGTCTCCCACTATTGACTTCTAGTGGGTAGAGGCCAAGGGTGCAGCTAAACATCTTCCAATCCATAGGACAGCCCCACAGCAAAGAATTATTTGGCCCAAATGTTAATAGAACCAAGATACTTCGCAGACCACTTTTTTTAAAGGACTTTATTTGTTTTTACAGGGGAAGGGAGGGAGACAGAAACATCAGTGCCAGAGATGTCTATTGGTTGCTTCTCGCACATCCCCAAACAAGGACCTAACCCACTACTCCAGCATGTGTCCTGACTGGGAGTCAAACTGGCGACCTTTTGGTTTGCAGGCTGGCACTCAATCCACTGAGTCACACCAGCCAGAGCACAAACCACTTTTGACATGTTCAGTTAGTCAGAACACCTTCTCCAGACACTACACAAATCTTTTTGTGTGTGTGTTTCAGTTTGTTTTTACCTTTCTTGAAATAATAAAGCATAATACACTGAAAATATTACGTATTTTCTTCCATCTTCAATATTAAAATGGCTGCACAAAAATTCACCAATTTTGATTTTTTAAAAAATGCGTACAAATGCACTTGACAGCTGTCATAATACAATCTAACAATTGTTTCGAATGAAGTTAAACAACTAAGCACTACCAGAGCCATAGTACAGAAAAAACTAAAGGGAATTTTTGGCCGCCCCAATAGAGGGAATGACAGGTGGGAGACAGTGGTTATAAGCAAAGGCTCTGGTGTGAGAGCAAGCAGCAATCACACTCCCATTTCATAAACTTGTATTTAGGAACACAGAAATGTGGATTTCATATCATTTTCATGTGTCATGAAATATTCTAGATTTTACCGCTACCTGAACATTCTGAGCTTGTTCTTAGCTTGTGGCACTTACAAAACTGGGCATTGGGCTGGACTTGGCACTCAGGCTGTAGTTTGTCCACCGCTGGCCAAGAGACCAATAGGCCGAACTGGAGGCAACCTTCAACAAAATGAGGGGGGTGCTGGGGGGAATTGCCCTATGTGGTGCCCATGGTAGTCAACGCAGGGTGGCCTAGAACTGTTATTTATTCCAAGATGACATGTTCCTCACTTTGTGGGCGTTAAAATGTATTTTCTTTTGTGAAATTATGGCGACAGTAAATAGCAACTAGTGCCAGTAGTTTTTTCATGTCCTTCCTTGGCGAAATAAAAAGCTGGTAATCTTATATCAGTCCCTCACATTTTTTTTTTCCCCCCTGGAAACTTTACAAGTCTGAAATCCAAAGTCTAGGATTTCACTGCTCCAGACGAAGTCAACACGCTTCTCTCCCTAAAGGCTGGAATTTTGGGATTGGAAGTCTCCTCTTGCCGATCTCTATACACAGGACGAGGTGGACGATCCACCAGAAAACTGAAACCTGGGACCAGATGCTCTTCCGGGAAGGGACGGGAATTCTCGTTTCCAAACCGTTAGGTTTCAAGATGTGGTAACCCCTGAACCAAGATAGACAAGAACACTACACGGTCAAGAGCAAAAGGCCAAGAGGGGGAAAGTGGAGCGGCTTGCTGTGCGGGAGCCTAGGAAACTGCCGAGGCCCCTAAGTCAAGTCCCGGACCAGTTCTCTGCCTGTTTTATCTGTAATGACATAATGGTCATTCCCTTTCGCCCTCTGGCTAAGGGCACAGATGGAGATAAAAGCCACTTTCACCACTCCTCTGCTTTTGAAATAGTGGAATCACCTTTCTTTCACGGGAATGCCTATTGTGAAAAGGCCATGTTGCAAGCCCCTTTACCTGTCTGGGTCTGGGTCTCTCCAGCCCGAAAAGAAAATTGAAATAGCACACTTTTAGGGCTCCTTCTGGCTCAGAGACTGTACGAAGATGTGTTTTCCTGCTCACAGTGGGGCAGAACTAGGTAGTGAAAGGAGGAGGCTTGTTTTGGCTTTTTCCCCAGAGAGAGAGGATTCATCTGGGCGGCTTCCTGAGACTCTTGGAAAGGTAAATAAAGACTGGGTTGCGTGGCTGGCATCGGCCCAACCCTACATGGCACCGAAATAAGGCCATGGGTGGAGAGGCCGCTTTTCCCTTCTTCGGGAGGATGGGGGATGGGGAACCAGCGAGGAGCCACAGAGGTTTCCGGCTCCGAAGCTGGCCCCTACTCCAGAACTGTTTCTCGCAGACACTGTGCCCTGCATCCCAGGCATCCGTAAGCAGCATGCTTACGTACAACCTCCCCATCTCCCCTCTGCTAGGGCTTTCCGAGAGCAGGGCATACCCTCCCTGCTGCTTTTTTATTTTTTAAAATCACAACTCAAGTTTTGGTATTTTTCTTCCTCTTCCAGCCCCGCCAAAACTTTCAGTGAGCTCCACCCACTCCACGTGGACCTCCCTTCCCTGTCCCAGCAACCCCTGCGAGAACCCCCCAACACGTGACCAATTGTTATGTTTCCTTCCTGGGGCGGCTCTTTCGCTGGCACCAAGTAACGACTGAACAAAAGTGCCCCCTTCAGGGTGAGTGTGGGGCAGCAGCCTGGGGAGGAGATGAAATTTGATTGAGGGCTGGAGTACAATAGGGGGAATGTGGCTGCTTCTGCTTAAAATGATTTCATATCCACATAGTTCCTTGGTTAATAACATGAAAGATCACACAAAAAATGAGACAAGTTCAAGAGAAGTGGTATCATCAAAGAAAACTACTTTGGCTCTGGAGGGGAAACTCAGTTGGTTAGAACTTGTCCAGATACTCCAAGGTTGTGCGTTCCATCCCCAGTCAGGGTACGTATAAGAATCAACCAATAAATGCATCATCAGTAAGGAAGACAGCAGCCCTGGCTGGTGTGGCTCAGCGGACTGAGTGCCGGGCTGTGAACTGAATAGGCCTCAGGTTTGATTCCCAGTCAGGGCATATGCCTGGGTTGCAGGCCAGGTCCCCAGGTAGGGGCGTGCAAGAAGCAACCGATGGATATCTCTCTTACATATTGACGTTTCGCTCCCTCTCCTTCTCCTTCCCTTCCCCTCTCTCTAAAAATAAATAAAATCTTTTTTTTAAAAGGGGGACAACAAATCAATGTCTTTCTCTCTCCACCCCCACTCTTCCTCTCTCTAAAATCAATTTAAAAAAAAAAGAAGAAAAGAAAACTACTTTGGGGGTATAGTTGGATAAAGTGTTAACTCCTAGTTGCAAAGTTGGTTACCCCTATTCTACCTTCATTTCCCCCAGAGTTCTTCATGATGTTGGTACAGCTCTCTGAGATCCTCAAATGCCAGACAAGAAACCAAGAGTTCTTTAGTTAGGGGCTGGAGAGCTGGAACATGGCCTGTTCTACGGTGGGTGTTGTTTTGGGTGTTTTTTTTTCCCCTTCACTACCTCCCCTTCCCCCAGCAATACAAAGTAGTTCTTCCTCTATGGGTTCTTACTCCTGAAGCTGACATAAATTACTTCCAAAACAGAGTCTCCTCGCAGCATTGGGAACACTTGCCCTGCATGGGAAGAACCCCAGGAGACCATGTTAGAGGAGGGGGGAGTGGGCAGGACGGCAAAAAATTAGTCCAGTGGGAAGGTTTGATGCGCAGAAAGAGGGGACTGACCAGAACAAGCTAGAAAATAGGTCAAGTGAAGCAAAACAGAGGGAACTGGTTTCCTTGGGAAAAATTCTGACCTAGGGTTTCTCCAATTTCCCTCTGCACTTCTTTTCCCCACAGGAGATGTGAGGTTAGGGGACTGGGAAGGGCATCAGGGCCACGGGAGGTATGTGGTCAGAGGCTGGCTGGGAGAGAGTTGTGTATCAGGCCGTGGTCAGAGAAGGAAGGGTAGGGAAGGGATTTAAAACCAGAATGATCCCTGGAGCCATTTGTCCCTCCAAAATCGTAGAAGTCATGAATAGTAGCTAGCCCAAGAGCAACAAATCTTGGGATCCAAGGAGGGGGACCTCATGGAAGCCAAGAAGCATGCTACCTCTGGGCATGTTCCACATTTGTGGAAGGGAATGGGAGGAGTTCTAGGGCGAATAGGGAAATAGTGTCCTATTTTCCAGGGAGCCAACTCAAAAACAATCAAGCTAGATCGTTAAGGACTGGGGAAGACACTTGCTTTCCTGAAACTCAGCCATCTGTCGACGCTCCCATTATCAGGTGCTATTTCCAGAGTCCTGGGCCTTGGGGAGGAAAGGGAGGGTCCCTGGTAGAGAGACACCGAGGGAGACCCGATGGGATTCTCCCTCAGCCCAGCTGCAGTTCCAGATATTCGCCACTCGGGGGCTCCCGAGCTCAACTTCAACCTCAGCCCCAGAGTAAGGGAGGGAGAGAGGCAATCTCCAGAGGACAGTGTAGGACGTCAGTAATGACCCTGAGAGCAGAGAGGTGACCTACGGGTCACCTGCTCTGAAAGGGCAGATCTTTCTTGCGGCCGTTGGGAAGCATCCAGCCTCCACTCTGTCTAAAAGGACTCGTGGCGCAGAGAATCAGCTCCCTACCTCTTATCCTCGTCTCTGTGGCCATTTCCTCCCCTGCGCGTTTCCTTCCCCTCCCCCATTCTCGCGGTGGGAACACCACCACCATCCCCCCAGCCTGTCAGAGGCCTGAGAAATGCTCTCATTCTGGCTGGGTGCCAAGCTGTGGACTTCCTGGGCTTTGGGGTGGGGCTTGGCTGAGGGGAAGCCCTTTGGATGGGAGTGCCACCCTTTGCTCACCATTCATTTTTTCTCTCCCTCTCTCCCTCCCTCCCCTCTTCCTCTCTTTCTCTCTCTGTCTCTGTCTCTGTCTCTGTCTCTGTCTCTGTCTCTGTCTCTGTCTGTCTGTCTCCCTCTCAAAAGGCTCATCTATCATTCTCTTGTCTCCACCACCTAATTTCCTACCCCCACAATAGGATTTCCTTGCCAGGGCAAAACATCCACAATCTGGAGGCAGTGGGCATCCTAAACACTGTGGTTCATTGTGTGAGAGAGAAAAAGCACCTATTTCAGAATCTGACTTCCCTGTTCCGGAAGGCCTGTAGCTAGAAGGAGAGGTTCAGCTGCCAGGGTCCAGAGGTAAGGTGTTTACAAATGGTAAGTTGGTTCTAGGGGTTCCTTGTGGATCCTTCCCAGAGCCCATGGGTCTAAGGAAGTCCATGTGTCTTTATATAGTAAAGCCTGGGAATGGACTTCTGCACATCTGACCACCTCTACTCAGCCTCCATTTTCCTGAAATAAGTCAGCTGAAATCTGAACTCGTTGGTCCATATCAAGGCCAAGGAAACCTTCCCAGCCAGCTGCAGCAGACTGGGGTAGATTCCGCAAGAATGAGGAGCGCAGAAACCACTCCCAAATCTAATGAACAGAGACCAGGCCTGTCAGAGACCTCTGGCACCTGTCTAAGAGGTTGTGCGCAGAAATGTTCTGGCATTTGGGGGTAAGAGAGTCTTCTGGTGTCATCTGCAAACGACCAGGTGAAAACTCAGTCCTGTGGCGCCCCCTGCTTCACCGCCCCTTCCTGGCCACTTTTATAACTGAGGGTCCTTCTGATTCATTAATTTTAAATCCTGGGAATCCTTCCCCTCTCCCCCACCTCTCCCTCTCCCCTCCCACCTTCCCACCCCAGACCTAACCTTTCCCCTGAATACCCAGCAGCCCCCAGGCACAGCAGCCCAGACCTGCCTGAAGATCACACAGTCTGAACCTCTGGCAGGCTGGAGATAACATCTTGACCTAAGTAATGTTTCAGCTCCTGACCTCTAAGGTGGAACTATCTCCTGGCTGCTTTCCTGTGAAACTGAACAGAGGGACACTGGAAAAGACGTCAGAACAGTCCTTAAGTTCTGAAGAGATGATTTATTACCTTCACCTCACCTCTGACCAATCAGCACCAGGACCACCCCTAACCGACGGTGTCTTGTGGTTTTGCCCTACATGATCTGTAACCTACATGCCACTTTTTGAGCATTAGCTCCCCTTTCTGCTGGGTGGCACCATGCATCAACAAAATAGCCAATATTTCTCCTCTGTAATTCTCAGTGTTTGGTGTTCGGCTCTGCTGGCACCGGGTGGACAGATTCTTTCTGGTCTATAACACTTTTGCAGTCTGTCTCCCTGACGTCATCATCTACAGACCTGTGCCAGATTCCCAAGTTCCTATCTTGAAACCTCAGCCCCCACACCCAGGGCCTGGGGAGAGCTGATGTAGGTCACTGCAGCTGAGCCTGCAGGGCTGTCTGCTCCTGGAGCCTGGAGCCTTTCAGGCAGAGAGTAAACCTTGCAGAGAAGCAAAACAAAGGGCATTATGACAATCGGAGGAGAGCATGTTCCTCAAAACATGAAACACGAACAGGCCACAAGTCAGCTGGGCATGTGTGAGGCAGTAAGGGGAGCTGTGCCCCCAGGAGGCTGCGTGTGATGGAGGGGGGAGGCCAGAGGAGAGGGGCTGAGCGAGGCTCCCATCCCTGGCTTCCTCTAGCCCCTCCCAAACCCACCAAGGCCCCCCCTTCACCCGTGCTCACCCTTGTTCTATTTGCCTGTGTCAGGGAACCCTTCTGATCCCCAATCCCCAGTTCTCCAGTCACTTCGCTCCCCAGGCTCAGGTTTCATTCTCAGGAGCCTTTGTGATTGCCTTAGAGACCCTCCGCTTCTGGTCACAGTTTCTGGAGCTCAGGAAGCTGGACTAGGCCAGGATTGTCCACACCCTCCCCCATTGAAAGACTTTTCCTGCTTGTTATCTGTTAAATTCATTTTGTGGGGGTACTTCCAACCCCACTGGGACCTCATTCCTATTCTCGGCTCTCCCCACCCCTGCCTCTGAGATCCCAGGGAGCATGCGCACACGCAACTACACGTTGTTCCTATTCTTTTAGCTGCGTATGGGGAGTCAAGGACCTATGGCTCAATTAGCTTGGGATGCCCACGGCTAGCAAACATAGACAAGGGACCAACTTCTACCTCCAACCTCAAAACCATTTAAACCCCAATCAATTGCTCTAATGGGAGCCTCGGGGCAGGAAGGAAAGTAGGTAAGATGGAGCAAGGATAAACAATTACAACCTGAGTCTTCTTTTCCCCTTATTCTTCCCCCAATAAATGCTTTTTATACTGCGTCTAACTGTATCTGGTGATGTTCTCTGGCCAGACTTGGAGAGGAAGGAGCATGAAAGGAGGAGGTGGACTCCCTCGATCTTGGGCTGGGTCCTCTCACGGGGCTGATTGATTGCTCGGGCACAGATGATTCTCAGACTTCGGCGGGCAGCAAGTTCACCTGGAGGTCCTTCAGAGTGAGGTTGCTGGGCTCCACTGCTGAGTTTCGAATGCCATGGGGCTGGAGAATTAACATTTGTAATAGGTTCCCGGGTGATGCTGACCCTGCTACTAATCCTGGGACCACTGTCTTAGTCCTAGGGACCCCCATCTTAGTCCTAGGGACCCCCAGCCCCTCACCCCAATCCTCTCCTGGATGCCTGCCTGGTTCCAATTTTATATAGTTTAGGAGGAAGTAACAGGTAAGACTTGGAAACACGTGACTCCTGCTCAGCCCTCCACCTGAGGACTACAGGGATCTAAGGAAGGGCAAGGACCAGCAGAAGTTGGTCTCGGACTAATTGCCCGTTCTATCTCTTTTTAAATAGTCCATTAACTCCATCCTCATTGAAAGGAGTCACTTCCCAAAAACATGTTTTGCAGCAGCAAGGGAGCACTAGGAATTTCCTGTGGTGAGGCAGCCCCAGTGTGGGGAGGGGAGCAGCAGTGCTGAGCGAGCGCCTTCCCTTGGCTCGGGCAGGGCCACGTGCCCCACCCCCTCGCTTGCACATGTCTCTGCCGCCACCGCCAGCAGCAGCCGGGCTGTTTATGAGCGAGTTGTTGTGGTAGAAATGGAGCAGGCTGCACATGCCCAGTCCATGTGACCCGGGCAGCCCGCGTGAGCCTTGAGCCGGCACAAACACGCTCGGCCCCGTCCTCTGCTGGCCAGAGAGACGGGAGGAAAGATGGGGAAGGAGTGAAGGGCACTGGGTGCCCTTCTGCTCCTCTCCTGGCTCTTTGTCCTGCTAGCGTCTCCTTTTGTCTCTCCTGAGCCACCAGGCGAGCAAACACCAAGGAAAGAAACGTGGTTTCCCCGGGCATAGTCTCCTCCCAGGCAGCCCCCAGGCGTTTATACAACCCAGAGCCCCAGGTCCCAAAAGAACAAAGGGCCTCCCCCAGCCAAGAGCACAGAATGGCCCCAGCCAGCCCTGGAGCTCGTGTGCTAACGTCAGCCTGTAGCCAAGGCTTGGTTTTCCCGCAGTCTGGCTCTCCCAAATAAGGCTGCCTTGTCCCCTCTTTGGAAGGAGGACACCACACAGAGACGCAGCAAGCACCCATTCCAGGATTCAAACAAGAAGAGTTCAGGGATTTACAGGGTCAGGGACACAAAGCAGGGTTTCTTTCTGTATCAGTGGTCTGTAGAGTTAGTGGACAGGAAGGAGAAAGTCTGTCTGCCAACTGGGGATAGGGAGGAGCTGAGGGTAGGGTGGGGAGAGAGGGGTGGAGATCTGGAAGAAGTTCACACTAACCCCGGTCCAGCTGGAGAACAAACACGGGTGCAAAACACAAGTTCAGCCTCCACGCCTCATGGAAACGTCCCCTCCCACCTGCCCGGCCCTCCCAGCCCCACGGAATCCTGCTCTCAGCACTCTAACCCCAGACCCCCACTCCCAGCCCCAGCCCCCTGCCCATGACCCTGTTTCTGAGCAGTGGAGCTTCTGACTGAGATGTGAGACTGTGCTGGAGTCAGGCGGACAGTAGGTTAGCAGGAACAAGCAAATGAAATGAGCACGACCCACATTTCCTCATGGAACTAAAACTTCGCAGATCCTGCATTGCAGAGCTAGCGCTTTTTTTTTTTTTTAATCTCCACTGGGCCTCTACACATGTCTGCATTTTTGCAAACAGCACAGATTTTTTTTTTCAGGGTGCAAATGCGCATTCTAATGAGCAAACCTCCTTCCTGTGGCATTGAAAATCTCTTTGGCAAATTGCTTTCGCCCCCCCCGCCCCCCTCCCTCGAATTTAGAAGAGGAAGAAGAGAGATCCCAAATTTGTCTCTCTCTCCTTCCCCGGCCCCCCTCCCCCAAGATACCGCAGTCTTTCCAGCCCAACAACTAACAGCTGCAGACCAGGGGAAAGGGATGAGAGGAGGGAAAATGAGCCTTGTTTCTTCTTTCCATGCAGGCTGAGCTGGCAGGGCTGGGGTTGCTTTTTTTCCCCGGGCAGCCCATCGCACCCCCCCTTTCCTCTCTGTCCCAGCCAGTGTTTATGTAAGCCTCCTAGAAGCTACACAAGGCCCCTTACGCCTGCTCAGGCCATGGCTCCTCCGAGGTCCATCCTGCTCACGAGGACTGTCATGAGCCTCGGGCCTCCCTAGGCAGCTGCATGGGGATCTGCGGGGGCCCAGGGACTGGGGATGGATACTAGATAAGAAGAGGGTTTGAGACAAAACTTGGGGTAAGGAGTGGAAAAGGAGGCAGGCACGCAGGCACCCCCCGCCATATAGGCACGCTCCCCACACCCATTCTCCTGCATGTCAGCCCCACAAAGGCTCAAGGACAGCCAGAGGGCAGGTGCAGGGACCTGGAAGATGACACTACCAGCAGGCTCCCGCAGCATAGCCAAGGTTGGACAGGATGGCCTTGGCATAGTATGTGCTGGATGCCACTGCCCCCCAACGCAGGAGGAGGAGCCCCAGACCAGAAAGGGGGCAATCTGGGGCTTATCCTTCCACTGCCAGGGACAGTCCATGCTACTTCCTGGATCCTGTGATGCGGGTGGGATCCTGGGCTCTGAGAGGAGGACCTTCCTTCGGGTTTTCCCAAAGGATCTGCTGAAGAAGCCTTGGCCCAGGTTGGTGGAGCTGTTTTTGGAGGCACGCACCTCTCAGGCAGGTGCGTGGAAAGTAGGATGTTGTTTCCTTAGGGCTTTTCACACTTCTGTCTGTTCTTGGTGGCTTCCTCACTCTCACTGAACCAATCCTTTCATTTTCTTCTTCCTTCTTTTCTTTCCTTTATTGATTTTTAGAGAAAGGAGGAGGGAGGGAAAAACATAGATGTGAGAGAGAAACATCAATTGGCTGCTTTTCATACACGCCCTGATGTGGGACTGAACCTCCAACCCAGGCATGTGCTCCGGACTGGGAATCGAACCAGCAACCTTTCCCTTTTGCTTTATAGGATGATGCCCAACCAAGCCACACCAATCAGGGCCCAGTCGATTCTTAACACATCCCCTGGAAGGAGGCACGATGGCTCTTTCGAGGGCCTGGACCTACCCGCCCCTCTCCCCTCATCACCAGCTGCAGATCCCAAAGTCTGGGAGAGAAGAGAGCTCAGATGCACCTGCTTCAGGCACCTCTGCAGCAGTCCATGTGGAACTTTGTTTGTTGCATCCTATGCTGGCCCCCCTCTATCTTTACAACCAGGCCAAGGGAAGATAGGAAGGAGAGAGGGAGGGGTTTAGGGAACAGGAAATGTGGTTGGAATGAAAAGAGAGATTCTGGGAGGCCAAGGTACTGCAGGGGCAGGTGTCAGGAGTGCTTCAGGCTTCTCTTCTCAGGAACTCACCTGACTTCCAAGCACCATCATTGCTTGGGAAACACCATGACGACTCTATTGCACAGACATTCCACTGGAAGTAATCATTCTTTTCAGGAAGGACAGTCTTGCTGGCGGAAAGAGTTTTACCCTCAGGCCTGAGGTTGAATTCCCAACACTTGGCATTTTCTTTTCTTCTTTATCCTCACCTGAAGACATTTTTTCATTGCCTTTTAGAAAGAGAGGAAGGGAGAGAAACATCAGTGTGAAAGAGAAACATCAATTGGTTGCCTCCCCTGCTCACCAGGACCAGGGAACGTGCGTGCCTGGACCCGGGATCAAACCCGCAACCCAGGCATGTGCCCTGACTGGGAACTGAACCCACAACCCTTCAGTGAGGGGACAACGCTCCAACCAACTGAGCCACATCAGCCATGGCAACATTTGCCATTTGCTTTGTGCCATTGATAGTGGTAGTGCCAAGAGATAGCTGGGAAAGTGTTGGCCCCTCCAATAATCTCCATCAATCTGTTGATGTGATTTATTTATTTATTTATTTATTTATCTAGTTATTTATTTAGTTTTAGAAAGGGGGAAGGGAGGGAGAAAGAGAAGGAAAGACACATCAGTGTTTGACAGAAACATCAATGTGTGGCTGCTCCTCACACCCCCACAACAAGGGACCTGGCCTACAACCCAGGCATGTGCCCTGACCAGGAATCAATCAGCGACCCTTCTGTTTGTAGGATGACACCCAACCCACTGAGCCACACCAGCCAGGCGACATATTAATTTTTTCTTAAATTTATTGATGTCAGAGAGAAAGGGAGAGGCAGAGAAATATCAATTTATTGTTCCATCTATCCATGCATTTGCTGGTTGCTTTCTCACATGCCCTGACCAGGGATCGAACCTGCCGCCCTGGTGTGTCAAGAGGATGCTCCAATCAATTGAGCTACCCAGTCAGGGCCTGATGTGACTTCTTAATTTTAAGTAAAGCATTATGCAGTTACCCTTCCAGACAAATTGCCTTGTCTCTGGAACATCCTGGGCAAGTTAATCCATGTCTCAAAGTCTCAGATTCCTCATCTCGAAAATAAGAATGAGACCTACAGCCCAGGCCAGGTAGCTCAGTTGGTTAGAGCACCGGCTGGATGTGCCAAGGTTGCTGGTTCAATCCTGGGTCAGGGCACTTCCAAGGGTCAACCAATGAATGCATTAGTAAGGGGAACAATGGGTCTATGTTTCTCACTTCCTCTCTCTTTCTAAAATCAATTTTAAAAAATGAGACCTGTAGCACGGGTTTGTTGTGGATATTAACTGAGGTAATGTATGTAATGCACTTAGCACAGTGCCTGACATACAGTTGGTACTTAACACAAATTTCTTATTTCCTTTCCTTGGAAAAAGGAGTAATGAGGTAAAGATGGAAACTGAGACAGAACACATCCATGGAACCCAGTCCTGAATCATGCCTCACCCTCCCTGCCTCCATCTCTCCCAAAGATCAAATGAACTCAGACGAATCAGCTCAGACCCTTCCCAAGACATCAGGCTCTGGAAAGCTAGTTGGCCTTTGAGAGAACAAGGAAAGGCTCTAGAAAGGTAGAGGATGAGTCTCTCCCAGACGCACGTCTGGTTGCCTGATTCTGGGGCATCCCCAGGGTTTCTGTCCCAGGTTTGCATCACCTGGGCAGGCAGGTTTTCCCCCTGGGCAATGGTTTGCTTGGTGAGAAAGGAGGGGGAAGGGAAGGCACCTACTGAAGCTTGACCTGGTTTCTGGCAGGGACCCACCCTCAGTCAGTAAGTGTTGGCCCAAAATTTAGGCCACCCAGGATTTGCACAGGGTGTCACCCTGTTACCTAGAACAACCTACTGCCAAGAAGAATAGGTCTGGGATCAAACGCACACGTCCATACGCACTCACACCATTCACACTTATGTACCCACACAGATGGTCTCTCACTCACAATCATATGAACACACATACACACACACACACACACACTCTTTGGCCAGAGCCTAAGAGCTCTCAATCCCTTGCCTTTCCCTTCTCCAGCTCTGCTGTCCTTCCCAGTCTAAAGAAATTAGGAGGATTAAAGACATACTCGGAAACACACACACAGGCACGGGACCCAACCCTGCCCCTAAATGGTGAGGTCAGTCCCCAGAAACCCAGACTCCGAGGAATCTGAGTAGAAGTGCGTGTAACCTAGAGCCAGGGCTGTGCTTTGCTGTGCCGGGTCTTGGACAGGTATCCATTCCACACGGTTCCCGTCTGAGTACTGTTTATGAAGGGTTCGGTTCCTTCTTGGGCTGAATTTGGTTATGGGAGGAATAGTGTGTGTGTGTGTGTGTGTGTGTGTGTGTGTGTGTGTGTGTGTAAGTGAACTGGAATGTCCAGCTGGCAGGAGCGATGGGAGGCTGTGTTGAGATGCACCTGTTGTCTAAAGGTCAAGGTTGAGGTCAAAGAGAGGCCAAAGCTAGATTCTACTCCAGGTCCCCAGAAGCCAGACAACCTAGCCTTTCTTGCTCCCTTTGGTAGCTCTGGGTCCCACAGTCTCCGTCTTTCTCCCAGCAGCTGTTGGCAGAGAGAGGAACAGGGTGAATAGACTAGAAGCTTCCGGAGCCAAGAGAGACTCCTGCCTCTCATTATTCTGTATCCTTCTCTCCAGTTGTAGAAGGAGGATCCCAAATGTACTTCTTTGTCAGAGGGGAGAGGAAGGCCCTCTGAGAAGTGCAGAGGAAGCAGGAAACAGAGGCGACCCCCCTCTTTTGCCTTCTCCCTCCCGGCCTCCACCTTCATACCTCACACAGACTGCAAAACAACCCAGCTTCTTGCCAAGTGTTAGGCTGACTGAATTTCAGCTCTAGCTGCCTCTGCTTCCTCCTTCTTCTCACTTGTGGCAAACTTGGGGAGGGAGCCTTGACCCTTGGACTCCCCCCTACAGGGACAAACACCAGCAAGTAGAAGAGAGGGTGGGTGGGATCCCCAGAGCAGCAGACAGAGCTGTGGGCCTTGGGGAGGTCCCAGGGCAGCGAAAGGGAGGGTGCCAGTGGTGGTGCTGGGGCTGGTGGAAAGCTAGAGGTCATGCCAAGGGCCCTGACTTTGAGTTGAGCCATGGGCTCTGGCCCTGGCTCTGACGGAGAGTCAGAAAGGGCACAGAGAGCATGCGGCACCAGACATGGCAGTTCACCTCCTGGCTTTCCCTCCAGAGTCAGGGGAAGGAGGGAGAGAGGAGGTGGAGGCTGAGCTCTGAACCAAGTTTTCCTGAAAAGCCTCTTTCCTTGTTTGTCCTAGCCCCTCCCAGCCCCTCCCACACTCTGCTGCAGCTTCCCAGCTCTGGGCCAGAGGGCCAGGGCAGGACAACCGCCTTCTCTCTCCCACTTTTCTTGGGGCCTGGGGAACAAAGCTAAAGCCCCAACCATTCTAAGGAGCCCATTCTAGGGAGCCCATCTTCTACCGCGAGTCAAAGTCTCCTGGGACCAGCGGTCAGGCCCACCACCCAGCCACCACCCCTTCAGTCAACTTCAGAGTACTCTCGGCTTACTCATTTCCTTACTGGCTATTTTCTTCCTTGGTGCCCACACTCCTTTTCTCTACCTCTTTGGCGGCTGTCATGTTTCCAGGCATACATCAGTGCTGCCCCAGGAGCTGCCTGTGAACAAGTGGAAAAGGGAAAACAAAACAAAACCTTCCTAGAATCACTGGGACCCAGGAGGAACTAGCAGAAAGCAGAAGGTGGCCCAGGTTCACTTGGCTTCTTCTTTTTTTTAAGTTTGTTTTTTTTTTAAGATTTTTATTTATTTATTTTTAGAGAGGGAAAGGAGGGGGGAGAGAGAGAGGGAGGGAGAGAGAGAGAGAGACGCATCAATGTGCGGTTGCTGGGGGCCGTGGCCTGCAACCCAGGCATGTGCCCTGACTGGGAATCGAATCTGTGATACTTTGGTTCACAGCCCGCGCTCAATCCACTGAGCTACGCCAGCCAGGTCTCACTTGGCTTCTTGAAGAGGCTCTCATCCCTTCCTATAACCCAAAAAGGATAGACCTCTACTTGAGACCTGTTTTTACCAGTGCAGCAACTGCGGCTTTGAAGGGAGATGCTGGCTGTTCCTAACCCCTCTTCCGCGTTTCACGTGCACTTCTGAGGTTTTAGGGCAAATGAAACCAGCAATGGATGTTTGACCTTGGGCTGGTCATTTCTGAGCCTCCCCTTCCTCATCAGTAAAGGAGGGAGGGTAAGAGGCTCTTAACCCCGGGGGGTTCCCTTCTGTGGAATCTACAAGCTACCCTCAAGTACTGCGGGTGGTGGGAGTGGGGGTGTCACTGTGCTCCTGGCCCTTGCCTTACCTATTGCCTCATTCCTTTACGACCTCATAGCACTTTCACCATAAAGCTCCCCTCCCTTGTCCTTTTTATCTCCCAAACAAAAGGAAATGACTCATCCCAAAGTCACCTGGACTGGGTGGGATGGTGTCTTACAAGTAAACAGGGAGTCCCTAGTGGTATCCTCACCCCCACAGCAACTCTTTTTCCTAGGGGTGCTCTTCCTAAGGGGAGCAGGAGGGGGAAGGGGTAACATTTCCTTTTGGTCTTAGGACTTGGCCCTTCAGCAGAAGTACTGACTCGGCGGATATCTCTTCCTCCTACTTCTTTCCCCGTGTCACCAGGAACCTCCAGGCGAGGTCAGTTCTGCAATCACGTGAAGCCCTCACGTTTGCAAGGTTTGCAGAAAAGGCCTGCAAGCTTTGATCTCCCAGGGAGCAGCGAAGCTTGCCAGTCCCTCCCCAGGAATTCACATGCCTCTGCCATACAGGCTTTCCAAACACGCCACCCTGACTCTGCGGCGCACCCCACCCACCCGGCTCTCAGCTCCTCCCCCGTCCCAGCAACAGTGTTTGCAAGGCAGAAAGAAAGAAATATACACAGTCCGCCCACTTTGCCAGTGGACTACAAATCCCGGCAGCCTTGGCATTGCGCAGGCGCAAGGAGCTCAACGTGCCTGCTTCTGAAAAAGTGTGTCACTGGGGCACGAGGCGCTCCCTGGGATCACATGGTACCTGCTCCATTGCCGCGTGCGGCCCGGGAACCCTGGGTTGCTGGCGCCTGCGCAGAGCTCTCTGTCCCAGGGAAAAGGCTGGGGCAAAAGGCGGCTGAGATTGGCAGAGTGAAATATTGCTGCCGAGGGAACGTAGCAGGGCACACGTCTCGCATCTTTGCGCCTGGGTGCCCCGTTTCTCCCCATCACCTACTTACTTCCTGACTGCAACCTCTCTACCTCTGGGACTTTTGCACCGGGAGTTCCAGATTCGCTACCCTGCAGCGCTGCGGAGCCATCCGGCAGTGGCACCGGTGCACTGCGGAGACCAGACCCTCCTTGCTGCTAGCCTGAACTACTGCAGGCTAATTTCCCTTCGGCCCCCCTCCCCCACACTCTCTCTGCTCTTCCCATGCAAAGCAGACCTCCGTTGCCTCAGCGTCCTCCCCTTCTGCAGGGCTGCAGCCCGGCCACCCCAAGAGCTTGCTACAGGGTGCCTCCACTCCCCTCCCTCAGCCAGTGCCCCGGGGGGAGACAGCGGCAATTGCAACCTCCACTTTGTGTCAAGGTCCAGTTTGAATGACCGCTCTCAGCTGGTGAAGACATGACGACCCTGGACTCCAACAACAACACAGGTACTGAGATTGCTATCATCATCCTTTCTCTCTGTCTCCTCACTTCCATCTATGTCTTAAAACAAGAGAAACTTTGTGAGGGACTGGGGACTCCCTCTGCCCTGGGATTTACTAGCGTAATGGGGACCATAGGCTAGGGTTTCAAGAGGTGGTTTTCTTTTGCTTTGTTTTGTTTTTGTTTTTGCTTTTGTTTTTGTTTTGGCCTGGAAATGCGCCCAAAGGCGTTCTACCTCCAGCCCTCAGAGTTCTAAAGCTCATTTTAGCCTGAAGGACTGGGATCCCGAGCAGGAGGCAATGGAGAGCGGTTACGTGTGGTGAGATGAACAGTTTAGAGGGACTCGGAGCTTTGGAGCAGAGCCCCCAAACGCCCGTCTGTCCGCCCCTGCAGCTGTGGCATGCCTGGCCTTCTCTGAAAGAAGGCCCCCCTCCTTCCTCTCTTCCTCTTCCCTAGTTTCCGCAGACTAGAAGGAACCTGAGAAGCAGTGAGGTGATCGGGACTCCAAGACAGGAGGGGCTGGGAGAATGGGTCAGATCTCACTGGGGAATCCTCAGTGACAGTAGGGAGCGGCACTTGAGGAGCTGGGAGAGTGGCGCTGGTCCCCGGGGAGGACACCCACAGTGCCCGGGTGGCCGGGAGGGCTCACATGGCTGCGGAACCGGGCCCACGTGCTGCGTTTGTTTTCATTCAGCAGAAGCCGTGGCCGCCACCTCATTGGTCGTTGCCTCTCGGCCCTGTTACATAATGAGCTCCGCCCCCACGGTTTCCACGGCAACGCGTGTTCCCTTTTCTCCTCCCCTCAATAGTTCCTGCCTATCTCGCGTCCGCTGCCCAGCTCTGGACTGGGACCCGGGGAGGGGCGGGACGGAGGCGGGGGCTGCTGCTCTGGATTGACGGGAAGCGGAGAGGGCGGGGACCTCGAGTTCCGGGGTTCCTCGTTGGGGAGCCACGTGCAAGACGCACACGTGTAGCAGGGACGTGAGGCCGGCTGAGGGCCCGGCTCCCGCCCCGCCCCGCCCCACTGAGATCTGGGTGAAGCTGGGCTGACTCACCGCCCCCCGCCTGCCTCCTTTTCCTGTTCGCCTGCCCGGGTCCCCCCTCTTCCCTGTCACCAAAGCAGAGTGAGATGGAGTCATCCCTGACCTCCCTTGGCCTCATGTTTACACTTCTCAAAGGGGCCTGACATTTAGCCACCCTTCTTGCTCCTTTCCTCTTCATTCTGTTTACACCTATTCACTGTACCCCCTTTAGACTCCACTTCTCCACATTACAAATTCTTTCTGTTCCCCAAGCATCTTTTTCCTTAGTCCTGCAAACATGGTCTTACTCCCCTCCCCACCAAACAAGCAGCTGTTTGCTTCCTAAGGACTGCCCCAAAGCGACTACCTTCCAGAATCATAACTGAAAGGATGTTAAGTCTCTCTCATCTTTCTGTTTGTTTTATGGCAAGGAAAACTGAGACCCACAGAAGGGACTTGGTGTTCTCTAGGTCCCACATCAAGTGGGTGGTGATGGATCTAGACGCACAACTAGACTCTCTTGAGTGTGCCCCTCACTTCCAGGTGAGAAGTCTCTTTGATGAGTCTTCTCTTTTGGAGATGGGTAAACTAGGTCAGGTTCATTTACCACCAAATAAATACCCCATCCCCCACGGTGAACGTTGAAATGGTAGGAGCTGATCTGTTGTGCAACGATTTTACAGGGAGCTGGGTTCACCCTGACCAACCTTGAGCTATTTTAAGGTTGCCCTGCCCCGCTTAGTGTGTGTCAGTGGGTGAGCAAGACATGTGCCTCTGGAGACACAGTAGCAGGGCCTGCGCTGGCGCACACGTGTCCCGGGAGCCTCCCTTCACTCACCCTGCCCATGGCAGGCCAAACTAGGTGCTTGGCAAAGGTGTGGCAGGCGGGTCACCTTTTTCTGCTGCTGATACCACGGGAACACGGCCACCTGGTTGGCCCAATATAATCAGAGGGCCAAAGTCCTGGAGTGCAGAGAGCCAAGGTCGTTGTCACTAGGCTGAGAGTCGTGGAAGGGGGTGTTCCAAAGCCCTAGGCTGGACAGTTTGTCCTTCACATCCACCTCCTGCGATGTGCACCACCAGGCCTCTCCCGGGCTCACGCAGACTCTCAGTATTGAAGGCCAGGGGAACCAGGCTGGGCAGGTTTGGGAACTTGAGTACCTTCGGAGAATACGTCTTTCAGTTTGGGAGGGATTTGACTGTTTTATCCTTCACTCTCCCCGCTTCTCCTCACTGTTGGCTCACTGCCGCTCCATGGCCTCATCCCTGGAATGGCCTTGGTGTTAAAATCGGCAGCTGTTTATTTTGGAAGGCTGGGCCTCACGAATGAGTCTCAGCTGCTCGTCCCATCCTTGGGTCTGCCGCGGACAACTAAGTCATTAGCTGCACTCACTATTCCCAAGGAAGACATTCAGGGCCGGGATGGGGGGACATGTATGTGAGATGCCCACGGGGGTCAGGCCTCTAGGGTGGTACCACATACCCAAGGCAGAAGCTGAATGTACCCTGCAAAGGGTCGTGGTGGTTGGTGGGCTCTGCAATGTCTAGTATGTGTTGGGGGATTGCTTTTGTGGCTCTTCTGGGGTTCCACATGGTTAACTTCTGAGTTGCCAGCAGTGTTCCGGGGGTGGGCAGGTAGGGGATGAGCAGGGTGGTGCCCGAGGATGGTAGCTCTACGGCACCTGACGTCTCCTGCCCTTGTGTTCTCCTGCCAGGTGGCGTCATCACCTACATTGGCTCCAGTGGCTCTTCCCCGAGCCGAACCAGCCCGGAGTCTCTCTACAGTGACAGCTCGAATGGCAGCTTCCAGTCCCTGACCCAAGGCTGCCCCACCTACTTCCCACCATCGCCCACGGGCTCCCTTACCCAGGACCCAGCTCGTTCCTTTGGGAGCATTCCACCCAGCTTGAGTGACGATGGCTCTCCTTCCTCTTCCTCATCATCCTCTTCCTCCTCCTTCTACAATGGGAGTCCCCCAGGGGGTCTA